AAGCTTTGACTGAGGATTGATAGAAACTTCTCCATGATCAATGAAAGTCAGTTCACCAAAAACCTCACTTCGAATTCCTGAAACCTTAGCTTTCGAGGGTGCAATCTTCGCCTTGGAACAAGCGTCACATGATTTTGTAATTTGATCAAACTTGTCGTAAATTTCCTTTGGTAACTTCAGAGCTGATGTTCTTCTCTTGAATTGCTCAGTTGACATGTGATAGTGCTTCAACTGGAGTTTCAAAATTCAGTTGGTGAGTGAAGCTTATCATGAATTCTCTGAAGTGCAAGTGACAAAGTTCCTTTAGGTGATGGTTCCTTCTTTTCTTCAAGTTTTACTTCAACCTTTGGTTCCGGTTTGATCTCCGTCTCTTCTTCCAATTGAGGTTCCCGACATCTTGGGACTCCGTCCTTGGAACCGGAACTTGGCGGTCCAGAAGCCACCATTGGCTCGTCATCAGGATTCAAAGGTTGACTCGGTACCTCTAACCTAGTATCAGGTGAAATTGGTTTCTTGGCATTTTTCTTTGGAAGTGCCTTGGCCGTCTTCGGCTCATGCGCAAGTTCTGGTGCAGGACCCCTGAATTTCTTGCAACCCTCTTTGTTCGTATGTGGACGATGCTTACCGTTACATGCTGGACATGTAATGCCTTCGGACTGAAAGCTGTACATCGGTTTTCAGGTGGAAGTTGCAAGTGTCATAATGTCAAGAACTGGATGATTGGATGTACTGACCGCGAGTGCGGTGCGCTGCATTCCAAATAACGGACAAGTGAGAAACTCTCCTACTGGAGTGTGCTCGATGTTCATGCGAAGGTTCCGCATTTGTTCAACTCAGAAGAGAATAGGAACCTTACCTTTGTCAAGAGTGTCAACGCAGGTAGTAATCCAACCAGTGTGTGCATGATCGTTGCGAAAATGAATAACATCTCTCCTTAACAGTGGATTGTTCTCCATTTGCAAATGAGAATTTACTTGAACAAGGTTGTTTTGAAAACCAGATTTGATCACGCTTTGGATGTTGTTGACAAGCTTGAACAAGACGATCTATCGCAAAGCGGGATTGCATGGCTCTGGTGCAACCTGAATCAAGAATCACATAAGTCGGATGAGAGGATGAGAACCAAGATCCACATATTCACAAAGGAGTGCTTGTTGGGCACCATGATCATAATTGAGATAAACACACTCTTCCGTGATTACGGAGTTGAGTGGGCACGTGTGCTGTGAAAACGGATGCATGTCACCGGAATCGGTTGCGATGCTGTCCTCAACAAAACGGATGCTCTTAATTGAATACCTGTTCAAATCTGAAAAGCACTGGTACAACAGGGACACGAACAAAAGCACGAATGTCATGGCTTCCACAAGTTCGTGTCCGAGATTTCGGACCAAGCAAATGGCCGAAAAACAGAACCAGTTGTTTTGGTCCGTCTGTCCGTCTTCAGAAATGATGTCAAAACTTTCTGACTGCTTGTCCTCTGAGAAGGTCAGTTCCTCAACGGAAGCATAGTAAGACCAAGTGTACCAACCACCTTGGGAGTAATCTCCGTCATATCCGTAATAGGATTCATATGTTGACCAGTCATCTGTCCAATATGTGTCATAGTCATAACCCCGGCTTTCTTCGGCTTGGGCAACCTCTGGTTTTCCGGGGGCTTGTGAGGCACTAGAAGATGCTTGCTGAGCTACATTTGCTTGTAGAGGTTGTTGTTGCTGATAAGGTTTTCCTCCTTTGTTCTTGCTATCTCCTTTGCCTTTTCCTTTCCATGAAGGCATTCCTTTGAAAGAATCCTTTCCTTTCATCCCTTTCTTGCCCTTTTTGCCTTTTCCTTTTCCCCAGAAAGCTGTGTCTTGCAGGTCATTGTCCCATGCTGCATAACCTTTTCCCTTTGACCTCGGACGGAAGCCGGGTCTTGATCTTTTTCCTTTCTTTCCATAGCCCTTCGCTCTTCCTTTCTTAAATGAGCGGCCGTGCAATCGGCGCTTAGAGTATGATCCCGTAGCGCCTAGAACTCAAAATTCATTCTCTGTATACAGACCTGTGAAACCTTCTTCTCCAGTCTCTTCGTCAATGACCCAGAAGCCGTGTTCACCTTCTTTGGTCTCGCCTTCCTCTATGATGTAGAAGGTTGACCGCTTTCGGTGCGCTATATTTGGGTCTGCAACACCTGCGCGAGAAAGTGCAAAAAGTTCTAAGAACAGCTGTTTCACTTGGAGATAGGTATATTGAGGCGTTGCTATTTGACGAATATTCATGGATGAAACAAAGCGCTCTCGCTGTTGTTCGTTGAGGTCTGATTGAACCAACAAAATCAAAGACATCAAGTTATCCGACAGCGGAAAATCAAGTTGATGCTGGGCCCTTCTGTTTGTGATGGTCTGTTCCCGAAGGTTTGTTTGGTAATTCAGTCTTTCTTCATCTGTTTGCAATTGCTGGTGGTGCAGTCGCTGCTCATCTGTTAATGCTGCTATAAATGCCTGAGTGCCTATTTCCGGTATATCGGAGAGATCAAGCAGGTCGGACCATGACGCCAACAGGCGCTTCTGAGCGATTTCGAAACGCCCTATCCAGTGCACGAGTTCGCTCTGGCCTCGATATGTGCGAAACATCTGAAGGAATCGCCAAAGGAACACATGATTTACTCCCTTCACGAAGTAGGGTCTCAATGCGTCCTTGAAATGAGCGAGGCCACGATCCGGATCTCGGAGTAGGGTATTGTCGAGCATCCACTTGTAAAAAGAAGCTGAGCCTACAAAGGCGTTCTTCAAAGATGGTCCGTGCTTGTCTGGGTCCAATGTTGTAATACCGAGCCAGTCATCAATTAAATCTTCATATTCAAACCAGCTTGTTTGGCCATCAAATTGGGGAGGTACCTTAGGAGTCATTTTGATGCCTAGCCGGTTTTCCGGCGTGACTGGCTGCAAAGGCTTCAGGCTCTTCATATGAGACAATTTGAAGATGCTCTTCGTCTGAGTCCATGTTGTGGGTTAAGACCATAGCAGCGATTTGGATGCGACCTACAAGTTGCCTTCGCAAGTCCGAATTTCGGAGCAGGTGCTAAGAACAACTGCTGTACAAGTTTGTCGGAACTTGGCAAAGGCACAGGCTCCGCTACCACTTTGAGATAGCAATCCCCGTATTGAGGGAGCCCTGGATCTACGTTAGAACACTTGTGGTCACGCGGCGGCAAGCTATGCAAGGAAGTCTTGAGCCACGGAGTGGCGCAGTGGTTCAAATGAATTATTGTGAACATGTCATGCACATGCACCACTGTCATGCATGCATTGTGAAGACAAGTCCCCAAAAATAGATTACACCCCCCCCATTCCCCCCGTACTCTACGGAGGGGGGGGTAAAAATTGCTAAATGTCCGCCCACTGTCCGAAAACTGCCTCTAAAAAGTTTGCAGATATTTGTAATCAACCTACACCTAAGGATTTTTCCTTGTAGAATGTGCTCAAGATAGATGGCAAAGCCAAAAATAGAATCGTGTAAACATCACACACCTGAGGTCCATAGTTCCTAAGTAATGTAATGGAAATACCAAGCAATTCGGGATCCTGCAAACTTTTATTTTACATGTTCGATGTTCTGCAAATTTGCTGCTATTTGCAGACCTTTAGACTATCATTTTACATCTTTTTACAAGTGTTTTTTTTACATTCTTACATTTTTTCAAACATGTATATAATTACAGTAAGTTTAATTACATTTTATACGTCCCCCTAGGCCCTAGGTTTTTTGAAAAAGAGGGTGGAACCTGCTCAAAATGCAGATTGCAATTAGAACATGTTTTGAAAGCTAAATGTATGCTAACATTTTTTAACGTCCCCCTCCTAGAAAATACGTCTGAACTGTAACTTACGTTTAGGGTGCGTCCCCCTATCTTAAAAGGGTAGTGAACATTTATATATAATGTTCTAAAATTTTTAAATATGTTTTTACATTTATATACTACTATTCATACTGGTGAAGCTTCGATCATCCAGAAACGCTCAACCAATCCAAGCTGGCTAAAGGCAACCCTGGCATTCCGCTTATTGTATTGGGAAACCATTCCATTTCTTGAACAGCATATTCATGGGCTATTGCAAAGTGAAAAAAAAATGATTTCCTGCAAGTTAATGCAAAAGACATTGCTGTGACCAAGCTCTTCCATGCCCCCAAGTAGACAATATAGATTATGATTACGTGCCTGGAAACCCTACTTCCATATAATATAGTTTTTTGAAAATATTGTTTCCCAAAACAAACATTCGTTTTTTCCCAAATGTACCAGCAAGAGTTGACAAATTGTTAGGTCCGGAAATCACTCACTCGGCATTGCCGAGCTTCGCCCCAATTCTGCTTATACCAGGGGCAGTTTTCAACGTTTGGTTCCTCTTTTTTTCATGGTATTTTGAAGAAATGCTAGTAGATTGTGGGTAGCCAAGTATTTTATGGGTAGGCTATTTGATTTGGATCTATATTAATATATTTTGCAATATCTCGGAATGCCGACACCACAACCAATTTTTTCGAGAAATTTCCCACAACATATTTGCAACTTGAAACTGTCCACTCGGCCGACTCGATGACCAGAATATTGATTTTCAAGAAAGCAATAACATAACGGATAAACGCAAAATTCAAAAAAAACATGTGAATACAGTTTTCCAGATATGTATAAGATTGTATGAGTATGTTAGCATTGAAAGCCCATTTGGAACCGAGGCAATCAAACTCTCAAATGGCCTGAACGTGTAGCATCTCTGGTAGTATTGTTTGAAGCCTTTTGACCTTTTGAAACGTTTGTTCTGGTTGCATTCGTTGGAGGGCAAATGAGATTCTAGAGAAGTGAGAGTTCCACTGTTCGGGGCACTGCGAGTCAAATATTTGAGGCGGTCTCATGTCAAGAAACCCACTTCCAATCTGAGTTCAAAAAACACTAGCCTTGAACTAGATTTGAACTAGGGGAAATCAGACTTAGGATGGCTTTGGTTTTTGCCTGGAGCCAGGTGCTGCTGGCGCTTCCACCGCTGCCAGAACATTTGCGAGGAAGCAAGCATTCAGTGGAGAAGGCGAACTTTGGAATATGCACAATATATATATATGCATAATATATGATATGCGCACAATATATCATAATATACAGTATTTCAGTATACAGTATTAGAATTAATCCAAGAGTATCATGTTCGTTTTTCAGAGCTCTCGGGCGTCATTTCTGCTTACATCCAGCGTTTGCACAGCTTTTCATGTTCTCACAGCTTTGTTGGATTCTTGGATTTTAGACTTTCAGCCGTGATTATGATAGAGATTGATAGAGGGCTTCGCCAGGCTCCAAGGTTCCACAGCTGTTGGGGGCTGTAGAAGTTTCTGCATACGGTTGTATGATCTGTTGTATGCCATACTGCCATACTATGCTTTCCTTCAGTCCATTAGTCTAGCCGGCCTTGAGTATCCGTCCAAACCCCTTGCGTTCACCCTCAGCCGCCGCCCTTGGTGTTCGGGGCCGTCCCTAGCACGCACAATGCTCCGTTAAAACAAGGGACCGCATAGTAAAACAACAGATCAAGCCTTTGCAGGCGTCTTTCGCTTTTATCAGTAAAATGGAGTTCGAAGTATGGTTTTGAGCATCTCAATATATGTTCAAATATGTTCAATGAAATCTATTGAAATCTGCTGTAAAACCTTGATCTCAAAACAAAGAATATGTTCCCTCTCAAACTTTGCTCTCGCGTTTTTTTCAGCGCTACTCGCAGGTGTTCAAGCAGCTTGTTGCCCGAGCAACACACTGGCAGGTTGCCGACATTTTGCGCCCAGTGGGGTCAACAATCAAATAAGTCGACCGCCTCAAAAAGTCAAGCGCGTGATGAAAGTAGCATCCACTGCGTGCAAGTGTCAGCGAGCTTGATTATCTCCGCAACAGTAGCATCCGTGATGTGTGCAAATGCACTGGAAAGTTATTAGCCCCGCCGGCCCCACCCACACATCTCTGACGTGATTGTAGCATCCATGACGTGAGCAAGTGAATGTGAAGTGGCTTCCAACGAAGTTGAGGTTGTATTAACTTGCAAAGGCAGACAAACATGACATAGCGAGAGCAAACATGCAACAAACGACGACAATCCGCAACACCCTTGAGGGGTGGTACCATAAACCAAGATACGGCACACATCAATTCAATTGGCGGCTGTTGGGGTCTCCGGTCAACCACAGCACCAGCAGACTCGCGGCTGGTGAGGGACAGGTTAACGTCTTTCCATCGAATTGTGGTTTGGCACATGGCCGGTGATCCGAACAGGCCGGTTAGATCCGGTTAGATCCGAACAGGCCGGTCAGTACCTTTGTCAAGACCTGCAGAATCCTGCAGAATGGCTGTGATCCCATGAATCGCCAGGCTTTAGCAAAGATGAGCATACAGCAGCGCATCGAGTCAACGGTCAAGCAGTTGGAGATGTCGAGTCAGGCTCGCTTCAGAACCAGGTTTGGCATGGCATGGCTATATGATGCTAATTGAATCTAATTGATGCTAATTGTACGGCAAGACCCTGAGGTTTGCCCGGACTCTCAACGAGCGTCCGGGCAGGCAAAGATGACGATGACGATATTGACGACGACGATGATGATTTTGATATCTTCTTGAAACCCTAAAAGAAACCCTAATGACTAATGACTGCATGGCTAAATCCATAGCGACACTATTGAACATAAAATCCTTCCTGTTGTTTGACGTCGTACAGAATTCCCTGGTATTTACGCTATGCAAACCTCGGGGTCTGTGTGTAATTGTATTTGAAGCGCTTGGACCATCTTGGATGTCTGACTGAGGTAACACCTTGAGGTCAGCAATTCCCTTTCATTTAAAGCTCACACTATTATTGACATTGAAAGGTAATAGATGGATTTGACACTTCTTCACGTGTGAAAAGGAAAGTGTGTCATGCCCAAACGCCACTCAAACCCCTTGTTTCGATTCATACCAAGGCAGTTCGACACGCAATCCTTCAGGGACTGTTGCACTTCTTGATGCAGCAGCGTCAGGCGGAATGGGACCAGTGATTCGCTGTTGGATGTCAATTGCTGTGCAACTGCAGCTATGAGCGAAGCAGTAGATGAACATCTTGAATCAAGATGAAGCAGGATCAATAGATGTAGAACGCGCATGAAACAAGATGTTTTTGTATGTTTTTACATCCAACGAGTTGGCAAGGAGTCGGCAACTGCTTCAATTTAATGGCATAATTTGATAATTGAATGATCACACAAAGGGAGGCCGAGGGATTCAACTTGCAATTTAGTGTGCCAGGCATTCACGAAAGTCGCAGATTTGCCAAGTGACGTCCTGGCAAAGCTGATGAGAGTACTGCTGAAGCTGCTTTGCCGCCATTTTCGTTGGTTGAGCAGGGTATAGCATTGCTAGCATGGTTGCACCATGTTGAACCTTTTATTGCTTGAATGCCACGGACTGACCTCTTACACTCAAAGAGAGTGCTCGTATGTGCCCGCTCTGTTTGCTTGACTGGTGCTGTATTTTCAAGAAACAATGCTACCATTTCTATCCCTTTGCATCATGTTGTATCCATTTCTATCCATTTCGATCATTTCTCTTTTTTTCTGCCTTCGGGGTCTGACAGGTTTCTGTCCGAATCCGCATCTACAGGCACGAAAGTGACATAACGCAACTAAGATTCACTGGTTGAGTAGAATACGAACCTGATGTAATCCTGCCAGGAAACTCTTGGACATATGCAGTGTACAGTAATATGCAGTCAGAATTATCAGGCGTTATCTCAGCCGCAAGAACTCAACCTTCTCAAGCGCAAGAGCTGTTTCCAGTTCGTCGTTTGATCATATTCTGTTCAGAGTTCGACGTGCTTCAGGGAGAAAACTGGGATGTTTATGAATGTTTATGATATTTGTATATATTTGTGCTACCGTGGCGGACGCTGTCAGGCGATGCTTGTTTAAAAGAACTTGCTGTGTTTCGCAAAACTCTAGGCCAGTTGCTTTGTGGGCAAGTTCTTGGTGCATTGGGCGCTATCGACCCCGTGCGATTTGCTGGGGAGGCACAGTGACGATCAGTGACGCACAGCACCAACATCTTTATGCATAGCACAACAGCAATACCATGCAATACATTGCAAAACTACAAAACACATACGATATCTTATCTGGATTCTTTCATTGCTTTTACTTTTATTTCTTTTACTCAGTCAGTCTAAGATGAAGCCGCTAGTTGGATTTGTCACAACTTGTGAAGGACGTCATGTCAGGTGTTGGTTGAGCGACACAGCCCTCCAAAAGATCTGCGCTCTCTCAAAGGCCACTCCGCTGGCGCATCAATGCGTTACGTTCGCACCATTCACGCATTCCCTCAGCATTGAAGTATATTGAAGTAGTCAAGGTGATGGTAGCAGTCAACGTGACACATCGTGACACTCAATGTAGCAACAGCGGAAGACATGGCAGAAGATGTAAAGATCGAAAGATGTGCTAAGAAAATCTAAGAAACATATAGAAAGATGAATGAAAGATGTCATTGGAATATGTTGCGATGACTTGGATTTCAGGTGACCTCGAGTTGGCCAAGTCTGTACTCGAGGACTTCCTGGCTCCCAACTTGGCCAACAACTCTGCCGCATTTGCAGCACAGGAGCTTCAAAGTCACTTTGTGTACAATATGTAGCAATATGTAACAACATGTAACAATATGTAACAACATGTAACAATATGTAACAATATGTACAATATGTATAATATGAAACAATATGTACAATATGTATCAATATGTTACAATATGAAACAATATGTGGCAATATGCAACAACATGTAACAATATGTACAATATGTAACAATATGTAACCATATGTGACAATATCGTACAATATGTGACCATATGTTACAACATGTGACAATATGTGAGAATATGTTGTAGTATGTGACAATGTGTTACAATATGTTACAATGTGTGACAATATGTAACAACATGTAACAATTTGTACAATATGTAACAATATGTACAATATGGTACAATATGTTTCAATATGGTACAATATGTTACAATATGTAACAACATGTAACAATATGTACAATATGTCACCATATGTGACAATATGTAACAATATGCGACAATATGTTACAACATCTAACAATATGTGACAATATGTTACAACATGTAACAATATGTGACAATATGTTACAACATGTAACAGTATGTGACAATATGTTACATATGTTTATGCGAGGTTTTGTGAGTTTGATTCAGTGCCAGGCCAGCCAAGATGCCTGACACTCCTATACAGTCCAGCAAGGTGCAAAATTCGAGAGAAAACAAGCTAGAAAACAACCGACAACGCTACCGACTGCCAACTGAAGCGGTCGCATTGTGCCGAACAAGTATGGAAAAGAGAATACTTGCTCTATCTTGCTCTCATTCCTTCATTCTTGGAAGGAGATTTTCAAGTACTTCCAGGATGAACAGAAGCAGGATGTTTTCAACAAGCTCAGTGAGGAGATTGCCGCACTTCGAGGGGATCATTTGCTTTGGCCATGTCAATGTGGTGATTTTCGAAGGGATTCTACCCGGCCCGTGTGGATTCAAGCATAACTTTTGCTCCAACACGCACACGCACGCAGAAACCCACACGCACTTGCAGTACCCCACACAGAGCACGCACACACAGGCCATGGAATGTGTTGAGAAAGCGGTAGTCAATTGGCAAAAGTTTCAGAACAGGCCAGACAGGATCAGTATAGCTCAGTGTGTGTGAAAGGACCTGTTTTTTTTTGCGTGTGATACTTTTAGTTTTTTTATTCTCCTTCGTTTTATTCTTCTTTCTCCTTCTTGTCAGGTCTAATGAGTCTAATGGGGCCTTGCCAGGGTTGGTACGCTTTTAAGCCTCGTTTGGATTCGTTTGTGGTCGTTTGTTTCTGTTGTTTGATGCCGTTTGCTTTGTTTTGTCGTCATTTCACTGAGAGCACTGTGAGCAAAAACATCCCGGCGGAAGCGTTGCCGGCCCACGAAAATGATGAAAATGAGTATTTCGTCACAGCGAGGAGCGTTTTCTTTCATTGAAAACCTCTCCAAAAAAAAGGTCCATCTACTTTGTGAATAACAACCCTTCCATGACTTCAGCCTGAAAAAGGGCAACCGCAACTTTTTCTCAAATTTTCTTCAACGTGTCAGCGGTGGTTTCCATCAGGTTTTTACCTGTGCACTCCCACCGCCGCTGGAAAGAACGCATGCATTTCCATATTTGAGGATTGCGTGCCTGGCCCTTTTTCGAGGGTAAACTTCCAGGGATGGCTTCTTTGAGGACCTTCCAGAATCCATCTACGTGACCCGTGTGGATCTTGACTTTCCCCCTGTTCTTCAGGGTTCTGGTGCGACAAAAGTTGCCCTGGCTGTGATTGCATTGTTGCAAGAGAAGGCCATATTTTTTGGCCAAAGGCAGGCCACAGTCGCCGAAATCTTAAAAATATAAAGGCTCTTCACATCATATATTACTAGTATAAATTCCCAAGTTTCCATGCTCAAACATGCAGATACCGTTAAAAAAAACTTAAAGAAAGTTTCAGGATGTTTTTAGTCCACATTGCAAACACGACGACAAGCCCATTCTGGAGGATCCAACAATCTGAAGGAAACTATTGTTAACGTATTCATGTCTGCATGTATATGCCAACGGGAAATATATAACGTCTCAGTAACACCCCACCCCACCCCACCCCACCCCAGACTATCGGATGCGGATGTGTGCAATGGCAATTGAAGATCATAGAGCGTAGCATTAAGATCATGTGGAATTGCCAATGAAGATCATAGAGCGTAGCATCAAGATCATGTGGAAATGCCAATGAAGATCATAGAGCGTAGCATCAAGATCATGTGGAAATGCCAATGACGTTAATCATCGTAGCATCAAGATCCCCACCCCACCCATCACCCCACCCCAGACTATCGGATGCGGATGTGCGCAATGGCAATTGAAGATCATAGAGCGTAGCATTAAGATCATGTGGAATTGCCAATGAAGATCATAGAGCGTAGCATCAAGATCATGTGGAAATGCCAATGAAGATCATAGAGCGTAGCATCAAGATCATGTGGAAATGCCAATGACGTTATCATCCCACCCCACCCCACCCCACCCCACCCCAGACTATCGGATGCGGATGTCTGGATTTGTGGGACGGTAACGAGCCCGCAGGCAAAAACATGCTTTATATAGTACTGCGCGTGCGTGGTGTTTTGTGGGTTTTTGCTGGGAAATTCAATTCCAGGAAGAAAGTGCATTCTGCCTGCATACGCGCAAGATTTTAGCCAGCTTCTAAGATTTTCGGGGTCATTGGCCCCTGCAATGAGTTGTTACAACAAACACTGCTCATGATCTGACTTCAGCATGGTGATGTGCTTTGGGCCTTGCACAGCGCCTGCTGCACAAGATGTGGATTTAGCGGCGTAATGTGAGTTGAGTCGAGTTAAGTCGACACCTTGCACCAGCAGCAGCACCACCACAATTAGCAGTGATGCTGCAACTCGTGCTACGACCACAAGGACTAAACTAGATCAACATAAACATATGCAAAATAATATTATAAACATAAAAATAAGACATAACAAAGCAAAATATTCCATTCTGTGAGTGGTTCAGCCTCCGCTTGTTGTGATGACAGGATGCAAAGGAAGTCTTGAACCCATACAGAAGCAGCAAGTACCAGCTGCTCGGCATTATGGCACTTGCGATTTGGAGTTGAGGGAACAGCATGTGCAAATGCTGGTGCCATGGTAATCTCAAAATGTGCGACCCTTTTCCCAGAGAAGTATGAACCCACCCCCGCATTCTCCCAGAAACAATGACACACAGGAGAAGGCTGTTTTAAAAATTAGAAATAAAGCATCTGAGACATTGCATCAATTCGTCTGTTGTTTGTGACAAGGGGGAACTCTTCTGGTTGCTTTGTAAGCTTTTGATGAGTTTCCAAGGAGCGTGAGTGAAGGACACGGCAGCGACACACATTTTCAAGGCGCAACACCAGAAGCCAAAGTGAAAATCAGTAAACCAGACTACTTAGAAGTGAAAACGTGTGAAAACGTTTTGCATGCAAAGCGCCATGCAAAGTACCAGCTGAACAGGTGCTTTGGCTGACGCTATTGCCCTACTACCACAAGAACGCAAGGCTTTCTTCGAGGCCTCGCTATTTTGTGTTTGGCTTCCTCTTCTCGAAGAATGGTGCATATTCTTCTGGAAATCTTGACACGGAAAAATAGGACACATTGTTTAACAATGTTTAACATATATATTCTGATCCTGACACAATATGAATATGTTATAATGATGTCTGTTGTGGTTCCTAAATACTTTGGTTTCGAACAGTTCGGTTTAATTACATTCGGTTCCGGCTTGACGGTTTGGCTTCAGTGCCTTACCAGACATCGTGGTGCCATTGCTGCTGTCGGTGCTGGGGCTGCTCTTGTCACTGTACTGTAGTAGATGTAATTAGTCATTGTTGTTGTGCTTGATGTTTCTTATTGATTCTTGTTTCCTCCTGCATTCTTTTCCTTCTTGGTGCCGTGGCTGGCATTCTGCTCAATGCAGACCTTGCTGTGGAACCACATGAGGCCTGTCTACCTGCTACACCTGACAGTCATGGGTTAGCGCTCTTCCTCATGCATCACGTGCGGAGCTTACTCACTTTTTGAGTCAGTGTGGGAAGGCACATCCAGAGAAACGATGCTACCGTGTTTTCTTGCGTTTTCATTCTGAAGAATGAATTCATGGCTGCCATGGCGTGCAGAATCCTGCAGAAACACGGTCTCTATTGAGGACAGACGCGGTAGATTTAACTTTAAGCAGTGCTTGACAAGTCTTTCGATTTTCAGTTCTGCTTTGGTTTGTAGTTCAATGACGACAGGTGTCTGTCAATTTTTTGTGTGAGAGATGCAGCTTCAAGATTTATAAGATTTTATAAGATTTTATAAGCCTGTTCGAATATGGATCCAGAAGTCCCAGTACCACCACTGAGTTTCTACCATGAGACTTCAGTTTAAAGCAGGGTCTGTCGTTTTTACTGCAGGGCCTTTGACATGAAACCCGGACAAAGAAAGTGACGTTCATGTCGTGTCATTGTGTCATGAGATGCCTGGATGTTCGATGATTTTGATGTCAGGTGATCCATGAACTCATCGTGAGTTCCCCACACGACGTGCATCGTACTGCAAAGCTTTCGAAGTTGGCCCAGAAGCTGGGGCAACTTGTGAACTTCGAAGGCCCCAGACAGACCACTTTGATGCAGAGACTATTGCAGGATGTCTTGATCTATTTTGCACTACTACTCGGGAAAAAATATACATGTTATTCTGATAGGTCTGCACACATGATTCAGTGTGCACAGAACTGTACATATGTGTACAATTTATATTTTTTTTGCACATATCCTTTGCACTTTCTTAGACGGGAGCTGCTTCTGCGAGTTGCAGATCACAGGAAAGGATGCACCAGACAGTCAAGAAACAGCAACTGCGCAGGCAGCGCCTGAATTGCATTAAACAGTGTGGCAGGAATTCTGAAGACAACGGGATGCAGCTTGCAAGGTACATTTGTGTGTTCATTGCTTTTAATTGATGTGTCAAACTAAGGTATTTTCACTGCTTGATGATTTGATCCAAAAGAAGGACTGATTTCTAGCAGGGACTGAAGAACAGGAGAATTGCCAGCAAGAGCTCAATGCCATTCTGTCCAGTATCTTATGGAATGGAGTCTCCAAGAGCAATGGGAGGCCGCTGAGCGAAGCAAAGCAGTGCAAGTTGACCCTTCCCTTTGCACAAGTTACGCAGTTAGCCTTGCACTAAGAGGCTGATTCATTGTCTAGTACTCTACGTGACTAAGTTTTAAGTGTATTCAGCTTCAAGGTAGTCACTCAGAGTACCCAGATTTTCTAGGCGTTACTGCCCTCCACTGTTTCTGCGACCGTTGTACCCCCAGATTCTTGCCCACCATGAACTCCAGACATCTCCACACCGTCCTTTGCTTGACAGAGTCTGAACACAAGAAGCATCAAGAAGCATCAAGAAGCACACATGCTCACTTTGCCAAGATATGCCAAGCAACTGCACTGGGGTTGTTTCACAGAGCTGAAACTCCCCGATTTTTCGAACTAAGTTGCAACTCCCATTCATCTTGTCGCCTCTTGTATCTCTTGCGTCATGGGAGCCTGTCCAATCCAGGCTCTCATTTCACAACTCGCTGACCACAGTACAGCAACGTAAAACCAGTGAAAACAGTGAAAACAGGTTTCAGATTCTGCCAAGAATTGCTGGGTCAGAATTCACACTTCAATCATCTTCAATAATTGAAGTGTTGAATTATTCGAATTGTGCAAGTGGCTGTCAGCAGGACGAGATAAATGCAATGCCGAGCAGAAGCACTGGTGATGAGACATGGAAGAAGCGACAGCTGGAGCGCCTTGCATCTCGGCTTTGTGAGGGTCAGAAGGTTCCAGCACGCACAAAGAGTGAGCACGAATCGGGGCCAGACTCGGCATGTTTTTATACAGAGTTCACAAGATGGGGAGTTTTCACACTTTCACAATCTCTCTACTAGTATGATTCTTATTTTTTGTACCTTTCGAACTCGTCTTTGGGATCCCCCCTCAGTACTAGAAGCTTGAGATGTTCCCTGATGCTGTGTGTATAAACAGTTTCTTGGTGAGGGAGAGCTGTGCAAGCCCTTCTCCTATCGTTTGGTTTTGAGCTGCGCTGTGCGATGTGGGGCGCATGCCAGAGCTCTTCAGTTCTTAGAGATGGAATTTGTGGAGGCTCCAAGCTCTTGGTGCTCTTGGATCTCGTGGTCATGCTGTGCGATGTCTGATATCTTTGGCTATCTTTGGCTCATGTTGTATCCCTTAGCCTTAGCAGAATTTCCTGTCATCCTCAAGAACCTCAAGAGACACACTTGTACCAGCCGCCTTCTCAAACAGTTCAAAGGACTGCAGAAAACTCAGTATAGTATATTTAGTTGAATCCTGAGAGAATACATGGCTCCTGATAATCGTGAGAATCAAGAAGAACTGTATTATTTCAGAAGAGACATTGGGTTCACAGAGAAGATTGCGTGGTTGTCTTGATGTCAATTTGATCTTTTTGTGAGTCTCATTTTGAGAGGCTACCGAAGGGAAGGGCATCGATCCTGGAGGTTGCCGAGTTGAGGAGCAGGATTGCGAGCTTTTGCAAACGATATACCGCGAATTGGGCCGCTTAGAGAAAGATTTATATACTGTAAAATGAAGATGAAACATATGGAACATCACAGAACACAATGACAAACAATGACATGCGACATGATCATGGCATGTTATGTGTTTGAATATTTGTCAATATTTCTCACATGTACTACACATGTGCTACAATGTGACACTTAGATTGCGGCTGTGAGCAAGAGATTTGCTCATCTCTTGTAGAAGTGTTGCCTCCAAGGCGAGCCAGATGGTGTCGTGGGTGCCATAAGGATTGGTCCAAGCGGGAGGAGACAGAGAGATCGAACAGACTTCTTCGACTTGTCCCATTTTGTCCTATTTTGTCATGTGTTGTCCCAAGGCGTTCCAAGATGTTCAGGTACTGCCTCATTTTCTCCGATGTTCTCCAGGACCCGCACAGAGCTGGAGCTGCAGGGCAAGTGGTCAGACATGCAGGCAGCAGCATTTTGCTAATATATTACACTGCATGTGGTATTCAATGGTAATTCAATGGTAATTCAATGGTATTCACTGGTGAATTCGTTTGCGTAGTCAAGAACTCTGGGCCCCAAGTGCCTTGGGAGGCTTCCTACGAAGAAGTCGCATCTACAGATCGCCGGAGATCAGCCCTTTGCGGCTTGGTGGATTGCACGCAGGTGGCAAAAGTGTCGCATGTTTCACGCTTATCAAAAAAAAACAAATCCACAGTGCTGCATAGACCTTGCCTTTTTTTTTCATTCTGTCCTCCGCTGCCATCCCTGTCAATCCGACTTGAAGTGATCCCTGGTGAATATGCTGTTGGAATCGGTTGGATGGAATGAGAACAGATTGCAATTGGGCTGTTCCGCCTTCAGGATTTTCTTCTGCACATTAGATGCGTATTGCTGTTCAGGACTTTGAGCTTGAAAGTGGTTCGCATAGATTGTTGGATCCGTTTTGATCCGTTTTGACTATATAGTAACTTAGCTTAGTACATGTTGACATCACTTGCTCGATCGCGCGTCATCTTGAGATTTGTGGATCTTATGGTCGTGCTTTGGTGCTACGGGAGGCCATGCGCCGATTCGAAAGTTCCTTGCAACTCATCAGCGGTATTCGGCAGGCTGGGAGCACACACTTTGCGATGAGGATCTTATTATATCTTATTGTTTGGACATGTTTAAACTTTAAACATCTGAAACTGGATATGGCTGCCGGCAACACATTTTGAAGCATAGGCAAGATTTCTGAAACGGGTCACATGTGCACTGGTTGTTGTTCGCGTATCGCTCAAAGTGATTAGAGAAGTCTATTTGCACCAAGTGTGAGTTGAAATTCCAGCTGAAACTGCAGGAAATTGTTCGAGTTTTGACACCTGGGCTTGAAGCATACCAGTAACTCTTCTTTGCTTTGCTGACAGCCTCATATCCAGAAACAAAAAAAGACCCGCCAAGTTTCTATCTTCTAAAGATGCTTAGAGCAAAACAGCACTATGAGATACTTTGAATCCAAACCAAAAGAAAGATCGACCCGTCCGAGCGAACATGTTTCCTTGCCCTCCACGGAAGTTGCAGTACCAGCAGTACCATGGTACCATGTTAGAGTCTGCAGAGTCCTTGTGCCATCTTCTGCCTTGTCTGAGCTTGTACGTTTCCTGCTGCTGCGTCAAGGAGATGCCAGATCTCGCTGAGCAGCTGCGCCCACGTTCTGTGGAGGCCTTTTTTCACCGAATGGAAAGCACGCATCAATCCATTACTTTAGATCTGGAAAGATACATCAAGATACAGTATGTGCCCAGGTACAGGCAAGTTACGCATGCTGGGGAATGGACATCCAAGGACGACAATAGCACAATTATATAATATTATATATATATATTTATTTATTGTTATTATTATTATTAGTGTTTAGTGGACAATTCAATTTGTTCTGTCAGGGTCTCCACATGGTAAGATATGTTCAATCAAAAGGCCAGTCTTGGAGACACATATCCTTTTGAATTCACTGGAGGCAGCTTGGCAACTGAGCAGTTGGGATCGATTGACAGAAGCACTTCAGGCTATGTTTGCCCCCTGCTGTTGCAGTGCAGCTTTGTCAGAGAAAGAAACGACATGCAAAGACTCAATGGCTTGTGAAGAGCTCCAGCGAGAATCCTAGTGAACTTTCAGGCCCAGGATCAGATTGACACGAAGGACTTTCAGGCCACAGATTCGAAAGACAGGGGTCCAAACTGCTTAAGCACGCTTAAGCTCAAAGTTCAGGAATGTTCAGGATGTAATTGGTGCAATATATTGTAATATGATGTAATGGAATTCTCTTGCGTCTTCCGTCAAGCTTCTGCCTCCATGAAGACGCTCCTTCTCTGATCCGAGCCAAGATTTGGGTGCTCAGTTCCATCCAGTCTAAGCTGGCTTGGGGAAGTTTGGGATAAATGTGGCAAATCTATTTCTGTTTAATCTTCCTGCCACATTAGTTCGAGAGGCGTGCTCCCTTCATCTTATTTGACAAGTTAGAACCCACTCAAATAAGTTCGTTGCGCTTGTACGATATGCTAGAGTTTTCGAAGTCAAGCAAGCTGGTCTTCACGGACATCACAGGTTCGCATTGTCTTTGGTTTGCTTCTGCTTTGCTTATTTGCTTGGTGAGGTTCAGTTGGGTGACATCTTGCTGCAACTTCACGAGCGCAATGAAGTGAAACTCCAACAACGTCTCCAAGAAACAACTGTCGAGGTGGGGCGTCTCCTTCACGTTTCATCAGCTTTAAATTTTAATAAATGACATTCGAAAAAGAGTCTTGCGAACTTCTGGTTTTGTAGTTTTGTTGATGTTGATGTTGATGTTGGTGTTGGTGTTGTTGTTGTTGTTGTTGTTGTTGGTTGTGATTGTTGGTTGTGATTGTTGGTTGTGATTGTTGGTTGTGATTGTTGGTTGTGATTGTTGGTTGTGATTGTTGGTTGTGATTGTTGGTTGTGATTGTTGGTTGTGATTGTTGGTTGTGATTGTTGGTTGTGATTGTTGGTTGTTGGTTGTGATTGTTGGTTGTGATTGTTGGTTGTGATTGTTGGTTGTTGGTTGTGGTAGTTGTTGGTTGTGGTAGTTGTTGGTTGTGGTAGTTGTTGGTTGTGGTAGTTGTTGGTTGTGGTAGTTGTTGGTTGTGGTAGTTGTTGGTTGTGGTAGTTGTTGGTTGTGGTAGTTGTTGGTTGTTGGTTGTGGTGGTTGTGGTGGTTGTGGTAGTTGTGGTAGTTGTGGTAGTTGTTGGTAGTTGGTTGGTAGTTGGTTGGTAGTTGGTTGTTGGTTGTTGGTTGTTGTTGTGGTTGTGGTTGTTGTTGTTGTTGTTGCTGTTGTTGTCGTTGTCGTTGTCGTTGTCGTTGTCGTTGTCGTTGTCGTTGTCGTTGTCGTTGTTGTTGTTGTTGTTGTTGTTCAATGCTTAGACCCTCGGACGATTTGGAACACTGTCAGGTCGCCCATGCTGCCTCACTAGCAGCACAAGATTCGTACACGAGGGCCTACCAGCACCTCCTGCGCACACTCCCTCAGAGTTCAACAAAATAAGCAGCTAGAGGATGTATGGAATACAAAATTCTTTGCTTGTATCCTCAGAGCGGCTCATACAGATTCTCTTGGACAAGTGCTTTTAACAAGAAGAATGCGCCTGAAATTTTCCGAACCAAAAGAGTGCGAGGCCTTCATTTGCTCTCTGATTTGCATTGGTTGACACAGAAGCAACAGGACCTGTGATGACCTGTGTGCATTCAGTGTGCATCACTCGAGCAGTGTTTTGTTGTGGAAGGAGGGACAGCCGTGCCAAAGCACATCGAAGATAGTCAGTCCATGGTACTGCTGTAATGAAACAGGTCGCAAGATGTCAAGACAGGAGCTTCAAAGAAATATGTTATATGCAGTTTCAAATCCAGTTCAGCACCTGTGAGGAGCCTGGCATTGCTCAAAACCTCCTCACACGATGTGTGCGGGTCCAAGAAACAGCAGAACAGATATGATGTTTGAAGCAGTGAGGCATATGAAAGACTGTGACTTTGCATCATTCTTTGGGCGTCAGAAAACATCGACGATAGTGGCTGAATAAATGTTGAATACGTCTTCAGTACTGGCGGTTAGATCCAAGCGTACAGCCATTCTCGCTGGATAAACTGGGCTTGGGGTGCTTTCAAGAAATTCCAAGGTGAATTCACCCGACAAGACATGACAAGACAATTCTGAGATGGCTTTCTTTTAGTTAAGACACGCAACAGATGCACATGGATACGCACATGCTTTTCGTTTCTGGGATCTGGGATACTTGGGAAGAATTTTGCATGCCGCAAAGTCAGAAGGAGAATTGGTATTGCTCAGGCATTTGTGCAATCCAAGGTGCTACTTACCCTCAAATTGACATTGGGTATAACCCAGATAGAATGCCTTCAATAGAAGTTGCGTGGCGAGACTATCCCACGAAAGCATATGACAGATTTTGAAAGCAAGGAAGGTCTGAGATTGAACGGAGCCAAGGACATGTCCAGGCCGTCTTTTGGTGCAAGACAAGCATTGCTTGGGCCACTAAAAGTGGCACTACAGGCCAGCGACAGTTTGGATAATGTCACAATATGTCACAATTGTGTAGACACCAGCAAAACTTCTTGCACTTGTGCGTGTCTATACTATACGGAACAGCAAGCACTTGTAGAGACTGCTAAGCATTGATCACAAAGCACCAGCATGGAGAACCGGCATGTAGATTCCATGTCTTTCCAATGCAAAACAGGTGTTGTTCTGACACAGGACATGAATCTCCGAGACGAAGCAAAGGCAGTCGAATTGGCATTTTCTCGGCTTTGACTCTTGGAGAAAGATGTATACTGAGTCCGTTTGATTTCGTAGTTCCACAACGTTCGACAGAGTTAGATGCTTTTGCCAGGAACAGAATTGTGAGCTGTGACAGTAGGCTGTTTGGGATTGCTATCTTATCTTCCAAGTAATTGGTTTAGATCGATTTAACGTGTGCAATTTTGACGAAAGGTAACGACATGGCCCATCCCTGACCACCGTAGCGCAGCAACAACCTGTTTGTAGAACTGTGCAACTTCAACAAATATTCCCATCCCACCTTCCCCATCCTTCCCTTACCAGATATCAAGTGCGCATGGCCACCTTGGCCACCTCTTGTAGCCCAGTGCAGTGCCAAAATTGACAGGATTAGCACTGATTAGTACTGATTACAGGCTTGTGCGAAGGCGTAGAATGTGTTTGGGTCATTTGGGGTCAATCTGGGATTATTGTGTCAGCTGATGTCAGATGGTCGGCTGTGCACTGTGAGATGGTAGAATACCCGCCTGAGAACACGAAGAAAATCAGCAAAGCTGATTCGCATAATCACGAAGATATTGAAATCCGACCTTGATCTTGAGGTCGGAAACATGGCGAGCCCGTTGCAATGGAACATCCAGACACCAGTTCCAAGCTTGGGTCTGGTGAGAGCACATGGAGCTCTGTTTTTTCTGTTTTTGCCTTGATTTTCATGTTTCCAACATGTTCTATCAAATATGTGAGGTGCACTGTCTCGTTGCAAGTCATCGGTGTTCATGAGGGTTCAACTTTTTGCACTGACGTTGTTGCGGCTCATGTTGCGTTCATCGCGGGGCTGCAGAACACCTGAGATCCCTGGGATCCGCCGTGCTTTATCATTTTGATTCATTTTGTCATGATTCTCTGCGGGCTTTAAGGCTTTCAAGGCACCTCAAATGAACTCCGCGCGTCTGCGCAGCTCGAATGGGGTAAGCCGGACTCTCAGTGACTCAGTGGGAACTTCAAGGCAACAGCGATTGCATAGACTGCATAGACCTAGCGTGGAATGTCGTAGAAATTGAAATTCCACAGAAGATGTCCCACTTCATTGCTAGGCACAGTGTCATTTCATGTCATGTCTATTTGTACGCGGTGCTTGTGCATTTGGTCTCCCAGCAACGTGAAATTATGCAATATTCAGCAGTTCTGCCGTGCTTAGTGCAAGGGGATTCAGAGAGGAAGGTAAGGCCTCCATTGAATTCTTTGCAAATGCCTCCATTGTACTTGATCTTTGCATATCTTTGCATGTCTTTGCAATCTTGCTGTGCAATGCATCCAGGATCCTGTACGCGAGTGGTGCCAAGCACGATGCTCTGCGACACATGTAGCTTGGCACAACCTTGGTTCACTCGCACTGGTGTGCCAGATCAGCAGGGCCGTCATTGGATCCTGTGCTGTGCAGACGTGATCCAAGAAGTTCTCATGTGTTCTCATTTACATTTATATACAGTATTTATATATAATTATATATATATATATTAAATTGTAATAATATATATATATATACATATCTGCTTAGAAACTCTTAGAAAACAAATTGACAATTATTGAATGATTCAGTGAGGCTAAGAAATGAAATGGGTCTAACCTCTCATGAAAGACAATTTCGGGATAGCCAGCTGTACTTCCAAGAGAGTTGAGCCGAGCATTGCAACCGTTTCTAAATTAATTTGTTTATCTTGTCTTGGGGCTAGCTGCTCACACTCGAAGCGAGTTGAGACGTCAGCTGTGTCAGCTGAGTTTTCTTCTTGGTGCGATTTCAAAGGAGTTTCATGGATTTGAACGGATTTCGTGCGTCAGAATTATATAGACAGAAATTGACACTGCATCACTTTGCATATCTTCATGTATGGCCCGTATGGCTAATCTGGACTTTCAATGCTAGCCGCTGCAGCCGCTGCTTGGCATATCTTTACATTCTTCGCATTTTCCAAGATGTTCCAAGATGTTCCAAGATGTTCCAAGATGTTCCAAGATGTTCCAAGATGTTCCAAGATGTTCCAAGGCTGCAGCTCTCCAGCTCTTGTCCTCGCGCGCAGCTCTTGGGTGCACGTTGGGCTGCCGATGCTTCGCTGCTGCTTCCTCGTGTTGCAGAAGCCGAATTTCAACAGGCAGCTGCGGCAGCTTCCAGAACGGCTTAGAACGGCTTGTCCTTGAGATTCGCTCCAACCGCCCAACATAATCAACATACACTATTATACGTTCTTTGATGTTCTTGGTATCTTATTGGCTTTGATTTCATGGCTCTTCTAAGTTTCAATTGATAGAGCTTACTGGCTTTGGCTCTGAACCCCCTAAGAGAGAGGCTGCGTTTATGGGCAGCTGATGGCGGGGGGACATGGCTGTATCACCTTGATAAACGGACTGCTGGCTCACGTACTTTGCAGTACCTGCACTACAGCACTTTCTTCATCATTGCAGGATATTGCAGGCAGTTAGATCAGCTGGGGATGTTTGTGGAGTTCAGTAATTTAGGTGCCACAGGTTGGAGCGCCAGCCAGCTGATTTTAAAATTGCAATGTCACGCCAAGACCTCATCATGGACAGGCCTCTACTCAAGGTTTCAAGTTCCTAAGACCTTTGAGTTCTTTGCTTGGCTTAAGTTCGGAGATGCACATGCATTGAACAGATCTTGAACTTACTCGTATCCAGAAATGTGATGAAACGTGCGGATTTTGCGTTTTTGGAGATAGTTGGGATGGTCTTGGCATTTGCTGTAATCTTGCTCATTGTTGGCTTGTCACTGCATTTCACAGATGCCGGTGGATATGGAAAAAGCATAATTCTTTTCACGGCTTTCTGGATAAGTTTCTTTCACCTTGTTTGCCGTTTTTGGTCCATGGGCAGGCAAAGGAGAGGCTGAACAATGAGGCCAATTTTTGAAGCTGCGTTGACAGCTTTGCTTGCGAAACGTTTCCGAAGTTTTCCATGTAGCTTCACCACCTTGACAGAGTTGTACCATGCTGCGCCGGTTCCTCACAATTTCGCATCACAAATCCTCAGGGCCATTCTGTTTGCCGCGAGGCTGCTTTCTTCCACCATGCATCTTATTTGGACTACCTCCTCAAGAGTCAGATTAGCGAAGCTGCTCGAAGTCTCTCAGCAGAAGTTCATGGTGCGCATAGTATACATGGTCTGTGTGTGTGCGTGTGTGTGTGTGTGTGCGTGTGCCTAGTGTAATGGTGATACCGGTCAACTTGAAAAATCCGAGACCGGCAAATGTGTTGTGTACACAATGCAAATCCGGGAAAGAATTGCTTGGATGCAATTTGATCCCGTGCCTTGCAAGGCATGTCACAATCTGCTCCAGCCGTCAAAAAGCTTCGGACAGCAGCGCCCTATCCTCAGTTCGCCCTCAAGTCATTCCTTGTTGCTCAGTCATCGAATGCGATCATTCAGGAAGCAATAAACAGGCTTCTTGCGGCACAAAGGCTTTGAATCTTCCCATATCTTCCCATATCTTCCCAAAACTCGAACCTCATCTTTGACAGATCAGACGACTGAAAAATGCACCAAGGCATGCCCCTTTTGACAGAAAGAATTTGGTGACGTTCACCTTCCGCGGCTATTTACAAGCCTTGCAGAGGGGTACCAAGCGATTCTTGACTGGTCATGACTGGTCTGGATTGTGCACTATGTGCACTTGTGCACTGCGCTGGGATGGCAATGATAGAAAGAGGCACTCAACATGCAGTTTGAACGTGTTTCTTCCCATGTTTGTTCCGCCGTGCCGTTTTGTGTTTGCTCGTAAAGTGGCATGATGTCTCTGCGTATTTCTTAGGACTTCACTTCATTTTGAATCGTCTCTTGCAGCTGGCATGGGAATGCTGTGAGGCTGGCAAGAGGATTCAGTTGTTGCGAACCTGTGATATGTCCCATATTAATGGAATCTTTTTGACAGCAGTTCCGAGCTTGTCCTTGGGCTGAGGTTGCATATTTATAATATTAGTTTTCATCATTTTTCATCATGACTTCTGTTCCTTGGCAGGTGGACGTTCAAAAGCAAGATATGGTTGCAGAGTTTCAGCAAGAGGCTATGGCAGCCCGAGCATGGCAGAAATGAGTTTCTTAAATCAGTTGCTTTCTTTCATTGATTGACTCGCTGCTCATGATATTTGGAGAAGCTGATGGTCAGAGGGTCGTGGTGAGTCATGCCATCGGAAAGGCCGCGAAAATACCACCTTGGATGTGGTACTCTGTACTCTCTCAGCTGATCAGTCGTGCTCTTCATCCTGACTTGAAGTGGCTTAGCAAGCCTGCTAATTACAAAGCAATCTTTGCGATTGCTGCATTTGTTTGTTCATTGATGGGTTTGCATAGGGAAAGCCAACCGTGGAAGTAGTGCAACTTCTCCCAAAGCGCACCGAGTACCACTTCAGTTAAAAGAGCCGGTCAACTGTTGCTTTCATCCAGAGTATCACTTTGAGTCATGTCAAGGTCTGCAAACAGGCAGGTTGTTCAGGAGCAGATGCAAACCTCATTTTGGGGCGGCTTCAACTCCGCATGTTTTTGGTGCTTTTCATGTCACAAGGGGATTAGATTCGGGCAAACAGGAGATTCCTCGGATCCACCCAATTGTTTGCCCTGTGTTGGTGGGATTGTCACTTCTACACGGGGAGAATAATGAAGTTGAAACATGTTGAAACCCTATCACCTCAAGAAGGATGCGAAGGGAAAGTCGGGCGGCCTCTAAGGAAGACATTCACTGATGCTTTGCTTGCATGGCTTACATCTTTTTGGAGTGTTTGTTTTTGGTGGCGTGCCAGACAAGACTTTAGCAAGACCCACTTAAAGTGAGCAAGTTCTGGAGGCAGCTGCTTCATTCCTGGGCTTAGGAATTTCAATGACCAGACAAGAAGAATTGTGGACGGACGATTTGACCCGGAAATCTGATCAATTTGACCCGAAATTAAGCAATTGATCAAGAAAGGGACGGAAAGTGGCCAAAGGCCATCCAAAAGCTGAGGACATCATCAAGAATGTGACCAAAGAATATCCTCAGCAAGCAGCCTGGCACCTGGTGCAGCTCCTGAATTCCACAAATCCGGACGGGCTTTCACTGGCACCAGACCGGATGAATTTCAGAGACTTTTCGGAACGTACTGCGATCATTTGACGTACCAGATACATACGAAGTGCAGACAAAGATATTCAACATGACTTTTGAAAAGGATCAATTGATCAATCTTGGAAAGCAAAAATCATGTTTTGGCATGTTTCGGCCATCTAATGAATGAAATCTCAACTTATGCCTGACCTGCTTTCGCTTGGCGCACTTGCTCTTTACAAGTGAAGATATGTCAAGATTGCAGGATGATCGGAGTCATAGAGAGCTGGGCCAAGATATTGTGAGCGACGTTGGGAGGCTCCATGGAGTGCGTGGAGTAAGCGCCAGTGGTGTGTCCAGATTCACTTTCAGGGAATGTGTTGATCTACAAGGATCTACATCCAATGAGATCTCATGATCATAATGTGCTGATTTGCTATTTTATGATGAGTTGACTCAATGATATGTCAAATCAACAAATATTTTATACTGTGCAGTATGTAATTGTATGTATTATACATTTGAAAGTATGTGATGAAATGAGCTTCCCTTGATGTTGTTTTTTCTGGCGGTAATTTCAGCTTTGCCAAGTCTCAGCACGCTATGAACGATGTTGAACATCGAGACCTCGGTGATGAGATTGGAGTATCACCATCGCATCCAATCTGCATCGGAGTATCCGGAGTATCGCATGTCCGGAAGTTGGACCTGCAGGCAGAAACATGACCTTCACATCTTGCTCACGACAAGACGGAAGATTGCAGAGGACGCGCAGTAGGACATGCAGAGCATTGCTTTCTAGAACTTGCCTGGATTTGCTTGGATTTCCATGCTTGAACGCAACCATTGGATGACGCTGCACTGCTCTTGAAATTTAAAATGCACGAAACCGACAGTACTACTTCAGACGCCAAACCACAAAGATCAAATGTTCCCTCTTCTAGATCCGACAAAACTGATCTCCCCATGTCAGTCCAGTCCACCCTTCTTCGAAGCCATATTAAGCTACGTAGTTCTATTGAATCGGGACAGCCAGCCTCCCACAAGCATGCGAATGATTCCTTCCGGTAGTTGGGCGAAAGCGCATCCAGACCATGAATTGATTTTGGACTTTGGAAGAGTTTATTCAAGCCAGTGAGCCAGCAGCACATAAGAGCTCTGACAGACTGAGATCCTCTTCAAGAGCGCAGACATAAGGGCCAATATCCCTTCAACAGAAAGCAGAAAAGCTCCATCAAAATGTGCGAAGGGCCGTTGCTTCAAGTCATGAAAAGCGCCGTGCACCTTTGCGTCATGGTGTTCATGAAATGTGGCTGCACAGGACTTTGGAAAGCTGGCAAGCACGACGGGCGAATCCATCTCCATACACTTTGCAAGGGACTTCCCTCGCCTCGTTGGCAATGGAACACAGCCCGCAACTTACACAACCGGCATCAACCGGCAAAGACTTCAGAGTTGCAGTGCAAAGCAAAATGTCACAAAGACATGCAGAAACACGGGAAAACAGAGAGAGAGAGAGATGGATCGAGCGAGAGAGAATAACACTGAACCACCATGTCTGAAAGTGAGAATTTCTTAGAACTAGAGTTGCCCACCTTATGCAGGGCGGTGGGTTGTCCAAAATGCTTACACATGGAGAAGAGAAGGAAGTGGAGAGTCCTGTCTTATCATCTATTTGCCGAATGATTTGCCCTGCGACTTGTGCGCAACAGGGCAGAAAAATGGCAAGTTTTGGTGCCGCTGCAGAGCCAGATGACGGCCACGATTCCAAGGAACTTCTCGCAGTGGAATGGGTGATGAATATAAAATAGAATAATATAATATAATATAATATATAATAAAATAATATATGATATAATATAATAATATATAATATAATATAATATAATTTAATATAATATAATATAATATAATATATAATATAATATAATATAACATAATATAATATAATATATAATTTAATATAATTTAATATAATATAATATATAATATAATATAATATATAATATAATATACAGTCAGTGCCAGAATTATAGAACGGAGCCAGGAGGACAAAAGTACGGTAAAATACCGTACCTTTGTCCTCCTCCGGGTTCCGATTCGGAGCGGAGTCGGGAAATTTAATTATAGAACGGGGAGGAGGACAAAGGTACGGTATTTTTCCGTACTTTTGTCCTCCTGGCTCCGTTCTATAATTTCTGGCACTGACATGATATTTACTGCATATTTGTACATATACAATCTATAAAATGAAGATTTAATGAGGATTTAATGAGGATTTGATGAGGTGAAGATAAAATGCAGATGAAATGAAGATTTGATGAGGAAACGAGGATAAAATGAGGATAAAATGAGGATTTAATGGGGATTTGATGAGGAAATGAGGATAAAATGAAGATTTAATGAGGATTTAATGAGGATTTGATAAGGAAATGAAGATAAAATGATGATAAAATGAGGATTTGATGAGATAACGAGGATAAAATGAGAATGCTGTAACATGAGGATAATGGGAAATGTGGGAAAAATGGGGGAAAACAGAATTATAGAACAATAGCGCTCCGACAAGAATTATAGAACGACGAGAAAAGCTAGGAGAAAATTCAGATACGTTTTTTTTCTACCTTCCGAGGAAAACAGAATTATAGAACAACAGGGTACGGTAAATAACCGTACCTTCGTACTCCTCAACTTCCGTTCTATAATTTTGTTTTCCCCCATTTTTCCCACATTTACCAGGTGATTTTCTTAGATTTCATGGTGATTTTATAAGATTTCATGGTAATTTTATGGGATTTCATGGTAATTTTATGGGATTTCACGGTGATTTTCTTAGATTTCATGGTGATTTTATAGGATTTCTGGGTTCTATAATTCTATAATTGATTTTTCCGTTCTATAATTAATTTTTCCGTTCGACGGAAAAATTAATTATAGAACGGGGCCCGGGGAAAATTAATTATAGAACGAAAATGGGAAATGTGAGAAAAATGGGGGAAAACAGAATTATAGAACAACAGCGCTCCGACAAGAATTATAGAACGACGAAAAAAATTAGGAGGAAGATCAGATACATTTTTTTTTCATACCTTCCGAGGAAAACAGAATTATAGAACAACAGGGTACGGTAAATAACCGTACCTTCGTCCTCCTCAACTTCCGTTCTATAATTCCGGCACTGACCATAATATAATATAATATAATATAATATATAATTTAATTTAATATAATATAATATAATACAATATATATAATGGAATAGAATGGAATGGAATAGAATAGCATATGATTTAATATTATACCGTAAGACAATACAAGATAATTTATCATATAATATACAGTAAAATAATAGAATAGACATAGAAACAAAATAAAATGTCATGTAATGTCATATTATAACATCATATAACATGATACACTAGAAGTATCTAGAAGTGTTGATCATATATTATAAGATATTTTAAGATTCTACAATATACTATACTGTCATATAACATAATATAATAGAATATAATGTAATATATCACTTCATATGATATTTTGTATAATTTTATGTAATATAAATTGATATTAGTTTATACAAAAAATAGTATAATGTATTATAAACTTCAATATTCTATATTCTCTGGTAATATGTATATCATATATATATACGCATTATTGTTATATGATATATTAGAATATTGTTTAATGTAGTTTAATTTAATCTTCACTTATTTTATCATATCAGACACTACAATGTACAATAGTGTAATACGGTATAACAAAATATACTATAATATATTATAATACAATGTACTAGTAATATATTTTGATATGATATAGTATAACAAGTGTTATTAACATGTGTATATATATATATGTATGTATGCATATATAGGTATGTGTATATATATATACAAATATATATATATATACAAATATATATATATACAAATATATATATATACAAATATATATACAAAGATATATAAACAAAGATATATATACAAAGATATATATACAAAGATATATATACAAAGATATATATACAAAGATATACATACAAAGATATACATACAAAGATATACATACAAAGATATACATACAAAGATATACATACATACATACATACATACGTACATACAGACATACATACATACATTAATTATATATATATATACATGTACATTTGTATATGTATATATAATTATATATATATACACATCTGTATAATATGTTTATTTATACCTATATATATATACATATTATATGTATTTATAGTCAATTTCTACCAGATAGAATATTCAAAATTTTGAACTAAACACCAAATCCTCACAGATAGAATTCTGTCATACCTTTAAAGACAGATAGAATATTCCACGGACCCGGTAAAACAACCAGCCGTACCTATGTAAAGTGCTTCAAAAAAGTGGGTATAGATAGCCATAAATAGCCACAATGCCTATGTAAAGTGCTTCCACTGAGGGTACAAATATGTCATGAATATTGCACCATACCTATGTAAAGTGAGGTTGACAATGTAGCAACTGTAACATCAGCCAAAGGATGATTGCTTTCAGTTCCTTTCATTGTCCTTGTGTTTTCCTTTCATGTTCCCAGCCTATGGTTCCAAATGTTTTTCTATTTCCTTGTATCTATGCTCCTTTCATTTACCTTTCACTTCCTTTCATGTTCATTTCATGTGCCTTTGATTTTTATGTCCTGTCATTAAAAAAACAAAACGTTTCCGTCAACCATATCTTTGTTTTACGGTCCTTCTGATGTTCCTCTGATTTCTCTTTTTCCGTTCGTCTCCTTTTCTTTCTGATCTTCCTTTCATGTCCCTTTCATTTTACTCTCTTGTCACTTCAGTTTCCTTCCCTTTTTCCTTCAAGTCATTCCATTTTTCTTGTATGTCCTGTCATTTTCAAAATCATATCGAATTTCCGTGCATATTTGTTTCAAATTATGTTCATGGTCCTTGGTTCTTTTCATGATCTTCCTTGCTCGTTTATGCATCGGGGTGCCAATTCATTATGTGATAATGTGCAGCAGTTTTAAAGCGGTCTAGCTTTTGTGCATAGGGCCTCATGCTTTAAAATGCACAAAAACAATGAGAACTGGTTCTGCTATATAATGCGGTTCCAGCAAATTCACGCCGAATTGGCATCCAAGTTCATCCAAATTCGAAGACCTTCAGAAATGCCTCTTTAAAAAGGGGTCAGGAAATTCTTTTTAGATAGAGGTATTTTAGAGTCAAGGTGCTCAAATATTTACTGGTTTTCTTCTGTTTATAGCATTCTGTAGCAACAAAATACGGTGGCATTCTTTCGTAGCAATTCCTTAAAATTCCTTAAAAATCCTTTGAATTCCTTAAAATTCCAAAAAACTCATGAAAATTCATGAAATAACATCATTTAAAATTATTAAAATCCGTAAACATATTTCAAATTCCGTCAGATTCCTTTAAGATTCTTGAAATTTCCTTAAACTTCCTTGAAATTCCTCTAAGATTCTTGAAAATTCCTTTAAGCTTCCTGAATATTCCTTTAAGATTCCTTTAAATTCAAAAAAAGACCTTAAAATTCTTTTAACATCCTTTAGAATCATTCGAAATCCTTGACAATCTTTCAAATTCCTTCAAATTCCGTCAAATTCCTTTAAAATTCTTTCAACTTCCTTTAAGCTTCCTTCAAAGTCCTTAAAACTCCCTAAATTCCTTGAATTTCCTTATAATTCCTTTCAAATTCCTTTAAATTTCCTGAACATTCCTTAAAATTCCTTAGGATTCCTTCAAATTCCTTTAAGATTCCTTAAGATTCCTTTATATTCCTTTAAGATTCCTTAAAATTCCTTTGGCAACCTTTAGAATCATCCGAAATCCTTGAAAATCTTTCAAATTCCTTCAAATTCCTTTAAAATTCCTTCAACTTCCTTTAAGCTTCCTTCAAAGTCCTTAAAACTCCCTAAATTCCTTGAAATTCCTTATAATTCCTTTCAAATTCCTTTAAATTTCCTTAACATCCCTTAAAATTCCTTAGGATTCCTTCAAATTCCTTAAAATTCGCAGATCTAAAATGACATGCCCAATAAAATTGATATAAAGAGATCCTCGAAAAGCCTTGGTTCCATTCTGCAATAAAATGCTCCAAACACTCAATTTGTTGCAATAAAAATAGAATGGAATTTTAACATGTTAAAAATCATCAGGATTTCCCTGGCCAATAAAATGCTCAGACCAACCCCTTAACAATAAAATGACAAACCTGACTCCAATTTTGAAATTCCAATACATTACGGATCTCGCTTAGACTATGCACAAGTCATCCATTTCCAGTGTGGAAATTGCCACGGGGATGCTTATGCTTCTTTTCAATTCTTTATTTCTTCCGATGTTCTGCTATCTTCCTTTCATTTTACGTTACTTTATGTGTGTTTATTTCATGTCCTTCCACTTTCCTTTCATGCGCGTTACTTCCATGTCCTTCCATTATCTGTTCATATCCTTTCATTGTCCCTGCATGCCATGTCCAAATCCTCACAGATAGAATATTCGGAATGCATGACCTTGGTCACCATGGTGGTCACAATTTATATGTGTGAATATTGGGAAAAAAAACAAATATACACTCATACAAAAGCATTTTCTTTCGTGTTCACATTCCTTTCATTCCTTTCATTCTCCTGTCAGTTTCCTGTCAGTTTCCTTTCACTTCCTTCCATGTTCCTTCTATTTCCGTCAATCATATCTTTGTTTTACGTTCACCTTATTTAATTTCCCTCCTTTCCTTTTTCTTTCATGTCCTTCTGATGTT